ACATTCGCACAGGAGGCCGCACATGTATGTCTACAAATGGGTGGATGTGGGTTCTCTGCAAATGGAACTTATAGATTTGCAAGCTGATGTACTGTTAAAAGAGCAATATGAAGCTTCTGATCATACTACCTTCTGGATGCAGACTGTGCCAAAGACTAAGTTTCCAGGACTTACCAAAGTGGCAGTGTTTACCCTAACCATGTTTGGATCCACATTCAGTTGTGAGTCGGCCTTCTCAACTCTTAACATGATTAAAAACAAATTTCGCTCACAACTGACTAATGAACATCTGCATGCATGTTTAAGAATTGCCTTGACCCCATTCCAGCCAAAATTTAAGATGCTGGCTGCAAATMTTCATGCAAATTTCTCCCACTGAAGTGAGAGCCATAACTGTTGTGCAACATGTTTTAAGCTGCATTGTGCTGACTCTTGAGTTTGTCAAAAATATGTATTAATATTTACAGCACAGTTATCATTTACTAAATGCTGCTTGGGTTTTTACGTGAATTGTTTTCATCTTTATGATGGTTTGTGTGCAATAGATGCTGCAAAGGTTATTGCCAATATGTAATGTTATTTTTTTGTAATATTTGTACTTAAATTGTGTTGCACTTTTCTGTTCAGCAGATGATTTGATGAGCATATGAATGATTATTCAGTAGCTAAAAAAACAGTTGTCTGTCAGTCTTCTCAACTGTTGTGATTAAAAACACATTTCTCTCACAACTGACAAATATCTGTATGCATACGTAAGAATTGTCTTGACCCAATTCCAGCCATAGTTTAAGATGCTGGCTGCAAATGTCCATGCAAATATCTTCCACTGAAGTGAGAACCATGACTGTTGTGCAATGTTTAAGTTTGTAAAAAATGTTTACAGCACAGTTTTCAGCACCTTTATGATGGTTTGCATGCAATATGTTGGAAAGATTGTTGCATATAGGTAATGTTATTGTTTTTTTATGTTTGTTTTTAAATGGATTGCACTTTTCTGTTCATCGGATGATTTAGTGGGCATATGAATGATTGATTATTAGCTTAAAAATTATACTGGTAATTAAATGTTAAATAAAAATGAAGTATGAAAAAATGTTTTGATGACTGATTAAAAATGTTCGGACCCCAGATTGTCTGGATGTTGGAGGTAGTGGACCTCTTGCTAATTTAGTTGGGGACCCCTGCTATAGGCCATGTCTTCTCCTGAACAGTTCTGTAAACTGCTAAGGGTTGCACCTCCTCATGTCTTCATGATGATGATCCTMGCTTTGTGCAGGGTCTGTGGCTGCATGGCCCAGAGCACCTGTTCTCCTGTGTTTGTTATGTCCTGTCTTCTTCTGAATGGGTGTTCTGAAATTTAATTTCATTGTTCTCTGTACAATTACAATAAAGGTCTAATCTCTAAATTTAAATCTAAAATCTTTCTTAAGAGACAAACTCTGACCTAACTTTAAGTTAGGATCCATCTGTGGGCTCTATAAAACATGTTCATTTGATTTAATTCACAAAATTAATCTCAGCTAAAGAAATTTCACCATGTCAGATCTGCCAGTTCTTCAGCTCTATTCAGAACCTGCTGCTTTGCATGAGTTGCTATGGAAACCCCCTCCCAACATTTTCTTTACAATAGCCCCCCACCCCCAGAAGTTTACTTTCAGTTTCTTTTCAGTTGAAAGTAAATTTTTCCAAAGTAGTTCATGATGAAATTATTTACACAGACTTTCTTTAACATACATGTCAACCTCTTTGGACGTGTACCTGTATAAAAAGCCTCAAAAATCCATAAATTTTGCAAAAAGTCTGTACAACTCTCACCCGCGGGCGGGTTCTGTCGGCTACGGACATGAGCGCCCGCTATGAAGCAGGAGGAAAGGGGAGCATACATGTCAACCTCTTCGGACATTAACCTGTATAAAGAGCCTCAAAAATTCGTAAATTTAGCAAACAAAAACGTACAACGAGCACCTGCTTTTGTTGGGGGGGGGGGCGGTCCTGTCAGCTGCGGACATAATGGCGCCAGCTGCGAAGCAGGAGAAAGGGAGGGCGTAAAAAGTTCAAAACTTATTTCTAGCGGCAGAACAGGTTGGAAGATGGCTGTTTGACGTTATTTATTGCTTTTTAACCCCGGATTTATACTACATGCATCTCCGCTTAATGGTCAATGTATCTGTCCAGCCTCCAAGCCTTAATACATAATATTTGTTAACATGCTTGTGTTTGTGTGTCTGTGTACGAGCTGAGTACTGGATGTTTATTTACCTGTAGCAGCACTCTGGTTGGGCAGAGAGTTGGTCTTCTTGTATTTAGCAGCTGACACGTCAGAAGGACTGAATTTCTCTGTTGATGTAAAAAAAAWAACTTATATTAGCACAGCCTTCCAGGAGATGTGTTTTCAGTGATTTCAGACCTGCATCCATTTTTTCTGAGCCAGAATCCTCGGAATGAGATGACTGCTTGCGGAAACCTTTGTGCTGATGAGCTTCACCCAGGACATTTGCCACAGACACTAAGGAGATAGCTTGACTCTCCTATTACACACACAAGTCAAAAATGTCATTCAAAACAACTTTTGCAAACATTTGTGCACAATATTCATGTCATATTGACTGTGGTAAATAAAGTACCGGGTTGAAAAGCTCAGTGGTAAGACCGAGGTAGTTGTGTAAGGCAAGAAAGGTCACTCTTTGCAGACGCACCATAATGATCTACAGGAAGAGGAAGAAACATGTTAACAAGAGCTGCTGGTGTTCAAACAAAGGAACACAGTTTTATAACGTATTACTGAGAACGGTGTGTCTGAGTGACTCATCTAGAACTGATTCAAGTTTGGAGACAACTCATTGATGACTGACACTAAATTAATATTAGCTTGCACTAAAATGACTCAATTCAGTTAATTTTATAGATACACTTGAGGTGTATTTTTGATCTTTTCTGCAACATTTGCTTTGGTATTGTTGAGAGTTCAGTAGAATGATTTAAATCTTGATCACAGATTATTTGGTGGTTTGTGCTGCTCTATTCAGGTAAATGTTATTTTACAAATAATAAGCCTTGTTTGCTTATTGATGCTATACAGCTTATACAGTGCCTGTGACATTCAATTTTTGGAAAAGTAACAATGGGAACATATTATAAAAGAGATTTCATGCAGCTGAGATGAAGAGTTGTTGAGATATTTGCATGTGAAGTAACAGGAAGAGATGTCAAAGGGGAATATCTGCATGCGAACAGACCATTGCTACAAAGGTTGACAACAGACTTTAGAGAAGAATCTGTTTCTTTAGATTATTTTAATTATTATAAATAATAAACCTTTACTGTTCCTGTGTGGATAGGGCCTGAGTTTAAAACATTATCAAAATAGTGGACAGGTAGCCTGGTAAAAACCAGACCCTTGTCCTTCACTTTGTTTCGTACGAGGGTCTGGACTCTAGAGAAGCTATTCTTGCTGGAGGCGTGGCCTCTGCTGAAGTTTAAAATGATTGGATCAGTTGGCTACAAGTGTCAGCTCGACTGTGAAGGAGAAGCTAATCAGAAATGGCGTGCACTGTAAACCTTACTGAGAGGAGAAAAGTACCGAGTCGAACGAGACGATTGTAAATGAGAGCTGCTGCTTTGTCAGAAAAACTTAATTTAATTTAGAAGCCTTATCAACACAGACTAGCTTCATTCACTWCCTCCACTGCCATATGCTAAACTAACTAGCAGACACTGCGCAGAAAATCGACATCATTCAAAACTCCACATTCTGTTCTCTGATTGGCCCGGATGAAATGCTCCTGAATAAATCCTTGTCTATGGGAGAAATCCCAGACGGAGCAGTGAAGGAAACTAGAATTGAGCGGAACTGCGTAGGAAGGCAAGGGCCAGGCTAGTGGACAGGTGATTAGCATTCCTTTTAGAAATACATTGCTTTTAATTAAAAATATGTTTGCTTTGTCCTGTTGTGCATTGTTTGATACAGCACTTTGATAACCTGCGGGCTAAACTTACCTGGATGACACGGACCAAAGTCTCAGGATATTTCTCAAAGACAGATTGAAAAGCAACAGCTGGGAGGCGCAGGACGGTGGACGGAACCGCAGCCCTGGCAGACACTGTCTTGTATGGAGCCGGATAACCCTGAAGTACAACCAAAGGAGCAAACTAACCCTCACAGCCATAGAAACAAAATATAATTAAAATGTTATCATAAATGGTTTATTAATTAGTTTAGTAACATGTGGCCCAACCTACAAGTTCCAAGCCTCTGTTATAGATAAATATCCTTCATTTAAAAATCTGTTATTTATTAAAGAAGAATAAAAAGGAACAGATGAACTAAAGACATACAGTGATGACATCCAGGATACTAAGGAGACTGTGAACGCTGTCTCCTGGTAACACGTCCTTCACCACAGCATCAGTACCATCCTGCAGAGGGACACAACATCCACACACAAGATAGGAACACAACAATAAGACTTCTACACACAACACACACCGAAACAACATTGTCTTTTAGACCTAACTAAACACTCATTTCTGTTGCTTTACAATCCTACATTTAAAAGTATTTTCAATTGGTTTTAGGTTAGGTCTTAGGTTTTAAAGCTTCAACTGTTACCTTCAGAAGCAACATAATTATTAAATGTAAAAGAAATGTAACGTGTAAAATAAGTCATTGCATAAATATTCATTTATAAAAGAAAAAGATGTTTGAACAGTACAAGTGAGGGGCTGAATACAAAAGGTCTCTCCTATCTCACCTCAGTGTTTGTTTTCTCTTTTGTTTGTTTTGCACATAATTGTATGTGACCAACACATCACCCACATGGAGCAGGCCAACAGAAACTAACAACATTAATGAAGGAGGGAAGACAGTGTGATCTGCATGTGAGTTCAGCTTACATAAGCTGAACAGCTTCTATACTTCACAGCTTGGATCAACACACTTTTCTTGCTTTCCTAATTTTAGTTCATTTTTTTACTCCTTTTAGTTAACCTTCTGCCATTTACCTTGCCTCTGTTACATTTAGCTTCTAGTTATCATTTTGCTGCTTTTTGTTTTTACCTAGCCTTTGCTTCTTTAAGTTTTAGCTAGTGTTTTGCTCCTTCTACATTAGATTAGATTTACAGTAACTTTAAATGATCCTTGGGAAAACTTTAAAAATAAATTAAATTGAATATAATTCAAAAAAAAATTAGCTAGTCTTTTGTTTCTTTTAGTTGGTGTTTTGGTTAGTTTTCACCTTTTCTTTTGCAGCATTTAGATTGTAGCTAGTGTTTCATAATCTTTCAGCTAGCATTTCTTTAATTTGTTTTAGCTACCGTACTTTTAGATTTTTTTCCTACTTTTTCCCTACGTGTAGCTTTTGGCTAGACTTTGAATTCAATTAAATTCAATTCAGTTTATTTATATAGCGCCAAGTCACAACATAAGTTGTCTCAGGGCACTGTACATAAAAAAGAACAATC